TTTTATTCAACGGATAATCTAAGGGCCATATTCCAGAACTCTACTCAATGCTCAAGTCAGAACTTGAGTATGATTTCAAGCACTAGAAATCATACTCAAGTCCTTGCCATTAGGATCGTATTTTCAGTGCTTGAAATCATACTTATGTCCTGACTTGAGCATTGAGCAGAGTTCTGGAATACGACCCTAAGTTGCGGTTGACAGCTCTCATTCCAATTGCTAAGAATAAAAAACGGCAGGAAACAAGAACGAGAAAGGCGCGTTTTTAAAAAAATAGTATTTTTAGATAATAACACTATAGATGTTACTATCCCACATTTTCTAGACCTGTAATGACAAATATGCCACCAAAAAATAAATAAATAAAATAAAAGCAAATAAAAATAATAAAAAAACGGAAGGACGATGTTCTACGATTTGGCCACATTGCCAAGTTTTGCAAAAACTCCGAAAAATGTTCAATTATGTTCAGAGAGTCACAGTTTAGATCACGCTAATGCTAAAAGCATTAACCACCGTGGAAACAATTAGGATAGACTTGCCCAATCAAAATACAGAAAATTCGTGATATTACAATAAAGGCACAGACAGTCTCATATTCGGAACTTCTTATTTATTAAAACTTCCCAACATTGAATACCAAAATGCCAATACAAAATCTTTTCATTTCAGATAAATTTATTAACCTTATAAAGTCTATAAAAACCGTCAAGAATGTTTTAAAAAGTAAAAAATCAGAAAATTTCTAAAAAAACAGTAGATTTTCGTTAAATAACAGTAGAACGTAGATTTCGACCAAAAACAGTAGATTTACTGAATTTGAATGGCTATTCACCTGATGGTGGCGTTTTAGTTAGATGACACGTAGATGAGACACGTTAGATGGCGCTGAAACTCATTTTTTTTGTCTGTCTGGCCGTGTGAGAACTGGCATTATCGTGCTGCAAGATGATACGGCGTTTACGGTTATTTTTACGGAGTTTGTCAATAACTTCCGGCAAACAAATGGTCGTGTACCAATCACTATTTCTCACTAATCACAGTACAACGATTCTCCAAAGCAACAGTAGCCACGTGTCCAGTTTTAGTAAAAAAAGAAGCAATCATCCGCTTAGAGGCACTTCGCACGCGCGCCACTTTGGTTGGTTTCGGCTCATCTTGAAAGACCCATACGCTCGATTGCTGCTTTGTTTTGCGATTGTAACTATAAATCCATGTTTCGTTACCTGTTTCTATGTCCCACACCAAATTTGACGCCCCTTCGTTGAAGCATGGCATTGCACCAAGTGACGCGATCCGTTTTTTGAGCCTCAGTCAAATTGTGTGGGATCCACAGAGAGCACAGCTTTTTCACACCCAAATGTTTGTGTAGTATTGATTGTATTTGACTCATGCCTATGCCTAAAGATACCTGAATCTCGTGGTATATCACATGCTTGTCTGTTTTGGTCATACGGCACACAGCATCGATGTTATTGTTATTCACAGTAGTGGTCAGGCGACCATCACGAAATTCGTCTCTGAGATTCACACGACCGCGTTTGAAATCTGCAAACCAGCTATAATGCATCTTGCATGGTGCTTCATCGCCAAAAGTAGTTTGAAGCCTAGCGTAGCTTCGCCGAGCTGTTAAATTACACTTAAAGTCGTAGAACATCATACTATGAAAATTTTTACGAGTTAAATCCATGGTGATGTAGACAACCAATTTCTAAAATGACGCCCCAATGTAAAAACAAGTGACAGTCAGATGAAACAAACTGTATTCTACATCCAAAGAGTTCCATTTCTAAATGTTGTAATTAGTTACTTTTTAAAAATTGTTTATGTAAGTGGCCAGTTCCGGAAACTTATAGTGCACCCTATGTACACTCCAGTGAAGATAGACTCAAGAACTGCGGACTTAGTTCCCTTAAAATATAATTGACTGAACTTAGCGTCCGTTTACCTACCAATAATCTTTATCATTGCTACGTACCTAAAACGAATTTATTGAATATCATGGTCTTTATTCTACCATAATATTCATCATCATAATTATACATCTCCATTAGTCTTCTAGAAGCTGTAAAGGTACCTACTTACCTGTAGAGCTAACATGACAGGGCACGCACGACTAGCGCGAGAACGACACAAAGCGCGAGATACTGCTATTCTCGCATAAAGGTCTCTCGCACAAGTCGCGCCCTGTCGTGGAAACCCCACTGGCGGAGTGAACTAGCTTTCATAAGCTTCTCACAGCTGGCGCATATTTGTAAGGTCTGTTGAATCGATTTCTAGTTCATTCTGTAACAGCTGTAGTCACGGTAAGGCAACAGACGTTAGTTCGAATCCAGTCTGATCAAAGAAATTTTTCTGTGTTTGTTCGATTTTTGTATCAATAAAAATACCAAATCCAAAATTTATTGGCCTGGCTGTACGGTTTTTTAAATCTTTGCTTTTTCATAGATTAAAAACAACGACTCACAACAATCACAAAGGATAGAAAAATCATCGAGTATATACATTGACTTACAATTATATGGACGTCGGGTCCGCGCTAAAAAGTGTCCGCACTTGTAAGGCGCTAAAATCGTATACAGAGCGCGACAGTCTTCATTTGTTCTACTGACAGCGCGATACTGCGATGAAATTATAATTTAAATTTCGAATAGGATGACTTGGGACATTTTTTTCGTGGTTTTTGTATTAGACCCGTCGTCCATTTATTTGTAAGTCAATGGTATATATAAATAGAGATGAAATGTCATTTAATTTGTTTAAAAACTATTCTGCCATATCATTACTGTGACAACTGCGCTCCGATTGGCTAGCCCGAGTTCGAAACAATTGACGGGTGTCGTCAATGGGTGTCGACAACTGTTTCACTTCAAAACGTCCAGTTAACTTGAGCTTTGCTATATTGGACGAAAATTGCAAAATTGCATACGGAATCACATTTTATTTGACAAAATGTGATTCCGTTTGTTTTGTAATTAGATGTTTCGCTGTTTTTCCCATAACACCGAATAGAACAGCTCGGCATTGTTAGAGATATTATCTTTATTACAACAAATACATAATATTAGGGGTTAAAGTATGAAATTGCCGTTTTATTGCAATAGGTTCTTTGAATTTTCATAGAATCTTCATGGTTTGAGGTTTTCGAATGAAACTTTTTTCAAATGGTTTCTGTGATTTTTTTTTTTTAATTTGAAACATTTGAATATCGACTTTCAATTGTTTTTGTTATTCAATTTAGACAAGAAAGATGGATACTGCGAAAATTCGAGTGATTTTTGAATACGAGTTCCGACGCGGAACTAACGCGGCAGAAACAGCCTGCAATATCAATGCTGCGTTTGGAGAGGGGTCTACTAATGAACGCAACGTGCGATTTTGGTTTAAACGCTTTCGTGATGGAAATTTCGACTTAAAGAACAAGCCACGAGGAAGACCGCCCACACAGGTGAATAACGATGAATTAAGAGAGATAGTGGAAGCCGATCCTAGTCAAACTGCCCAGGAATTAGCGGCATGGTTTAACGTTACCTTACCCACAATATTGACTCACTTGCGTCGAATCAATAAAATAAAAAAATACGAAAAATGGGTGCCTCATGATTTGACTGATCTGCAGAAAGAAACGCGTGTTGAAACTTGCGTTGCCTTGTTGAACCGGTACAAAAATGAAGGAATATTGGATCGAATTGTAACATGTGATGAAAAGTGGATTCTTTATGATAACCGGAAAAGAAAAATGCAATGGCTGACCCCAGGTCAAACTTACCAATAAAAAGGTAATGGTAACTGTTTGGTGGTCTCAGCATGGTGTTATTCACTATAGTTTTTTCCGATCTGGTCAAGCAATAACGGCAGATGTCTATTGTGCCGAACTCCGAACCATGTTGACAAAACTAGCAGTAAAACAGCCCCGACTCATGAATCGATCTTCACCATTATTGCTCCACGACAACGCGAGACCTCACACAGCACGAGAAACCATTTTGACCCTTCAGGAACTGCAGTTAGAAACCATTCGTCATCCTCCGTATTCACCAGACCTTGCTCCAACGGACTACCATTTTTTTCGTGATTTGGACAATTATCTACGTGACAAGAAGTTTTCTTCCCAGGAGGCAGTACAAAATGCTTTCACACACTTTGTGCAGTCTAGATCGTCGGAGTTCTATCGCAAAGGCATTAATAACCTTCCCATTAGATGGCAGCAATGTATAGATAATAATGGCAACTATTTTGATTAAATAAATTTGTTAAAAATTTAAAAAATAAACAATTTAGATTTTCAGTACAAATCGCCAATTTCATACTTTAGCCCCTATTATGTTTTGGAATATACGGAGACGTACACACAGGTCAGTAGCTGGCTTGTCTATATTTCAGTGCAAACGAGAGTTGATATTTATAAGAGCTGTATCTCTAATGTGGTACCAGGAATATATGGCCCTTATTTCGTCTCTATTTCTGGTTATATACTCGATGGAAAATATATGGATAGCGTGGCATAAACATAACCTATTAATTAGAAATTATGGTACTTCGGGAAACTGATGGGAACTTGACGTGAGAGTCAGAATGGAAGGTGTACCTTAACGTATTCTGCCAAATTTAGTATAAAAATAATGTACCACATTTGTATTATTTAGTGCCTGTGTTTTAAAAAATTGTACCTCCATTAGAACGATGTTATTGCAATATCAAAGGTACACCAGCCGTATTGACAGTCAATATGGCGTCAAGTTGTGAGAGTCTGTTAATATATTCTGACTCTCACAACTTGACGGTATGAATAAATTGCTCGAGTAACCCCACAATTTTTTTATAAAAGTCAACAAGGGAATGATAAAAAAATACGTTAATTTTTGTACTTTATTACTATAGCGACAAACAAACTTATACCTACATACATTATACAAGTCACGTCAGAAATGAGGTAATACTTTATATCGCTTTCATGTAAACAAATAACTTTAGCAACAAAAGGAAATTGAAATTGGAGGAAAAAATTAGTTCCCATAAAAATTTGGACAGGAAAATATAATTTTTACTCACTGTTTGTACTCATGAATGCGATTACCAACTGAAATCTACCTTGTATATATTGAATTTGTAAGACAAAACCCTAGAGTTAATTCAAAACGAAAGATTTTCCCTAAACGTATAAACATAGAATGTCTGTATTATAATGCCTGTATGTACGTGGTTAAGTAAATCGATAGAGATAAGCGGTTATTATTTCCCTTTCGTTTTAAATAGAGGCATAATACAAATAATATGCTCGAGCTACAGATGCTAAATACTAAAAGAAATAAGCGATCACAAGTACTCTACTTGCGTTCACTCCTATTGATTAAATCCCATGCACACACGGTCCGGTCGGGACGCCTTCTATACCAAGTCTTCGAGCGCATTCAATTACAAAGAACGCAAAACTCGAACAAGGGACCCCTACTGTCTGCGGAGTCCTTTATATTTCAAGTAACTAGAGTTGACTGTTTCCGTATTAACTTATGGAAACCTGGCTAAATTCTTGTCAAGTTCCGTATGATGCTTCTGGTATAACTTACCCATGGATTTACTGGATTTACCCTTTGTGTTAAAGCTGACCTCGGCAAAGGACAGTTGAAATGGCTTTCGTTAATAACGCGATGTGGCGCTGGTCCGTCGTTCATGCCATGCAGTTTCTCACACAGGAAACAAGTGAATTTCTCAATAATTAATGTTATATCAGTCTGATACGGCCTCGCTTTGATCTCATTTCTGAGATATTTATTTGTAATTATTCCTTTTGTTTTGTGCTCTAGATACTCCTCGTACATGTCATCATTTCGCATTAATTTATCAATGTGAGTGCTCAGTAACTTTGGCGACGGAAAGTCCTCGAGTAGTATTGCTGATTTTTTGTTTGGAAACCAGTCTCTTATAGAGGGTGAGCCAAAGTAGATAGGAACCACACCAACATGTATCGCTCGCCAGAACTTCTCAGTCACATAATCATTACAAACACTATTCTCTATTGCTATCACGAATTTGTACCTTGCAATGAATTTAAGTATATCTTCTGAATATAATTTCGACATGTAAAAGCTGTCACGTCTAAGATTAAGTGGTATCTCTTTGTTATTCAAGCAAGCCCCGAATGAGTCTATCGTTTGATATTTAATGAGTTCTTGAACATACAAATCCCGTTCAGTGGATGTTAAGCAGTGCGATTGTAGGTACAGAATTGGGGATATCTCCTTAAGGAAAGTGTTTTTCTTTACAATGTCAATGTAATATTTCTTGCTTGTTATATTGTCCAAAGACTGTATCCATTGCAAGGGAAACGGTACGTCACTGTATCTACTATACGTGCTTGAAAAATTAAATGATCTTATTGTTCTTTCGTCCATACATTCGACACAAAATGTCGGTGATTCGGTAAGAAACAAACCCCTAATTGCAATTGCTGGATGTGGTGGTACCAATGGAATATGCGGACTCCATGTGTGCGGATCGAATATATAAGCTACGTTCACATTTTGTTGAATTTCTTCGGAATATCTTGCGACGGTGCATTTTAATTTACCGCATACAGCTATGTAGTCCGCTGCTAGTTGGATATAGTGTTCGGTGCTGTGTTTGCTCCACAATATAACAGGGTATTCTGTGACATATCCGGCAGTATCATTATGGAAATCGGGAGCTATGTAATAGTAATAATCATTGCTGTTGGAGTTCCAAATGATTGCGCAAACACAAGCAAGTAAAATCCACCAAGTTTCGTCGCTTATTGTCCTTAGTACTGCTTTATACATTACTAAAAGTATTAAAGAAAACTATAAATAAGTATCTCCGAAAACTGTGGAATGATAAACTATGTGATAAACTTAGTGCTGTGCTTTTTAATAATGTATCTTCTCGAGATGAATTAAAAGCCAAAAAAAACTTCTTGTAACAAAAAAATATATAGTATACGAGTTATGTAAATTCGAAGGTGTGTGATTTTAAAATAGTTATAATAATTGTAATAATTGTAAGAAAGTGTTATTTTATGGAAATGTAATAAACATATATAATTGTCATACTGACATAAATATACCATTTAATTCAGAATGACAACATATTAGCTTTTTCATAATTTTTTCCCCCTTCGTTCCGTTTTTCCTTTTTTTCCATCCTCTAAGTTCCGTTTGGAACAGGCGAAGATCAAAGACCATTATTTACTGAAGAAGAAGAGAAACTAATGACTAGGCAGTAATTTCATAAGTTTCCTTTCACCAAAGACTAGAAGTAAAATTTTGCATCCTTCGAGACAGACTAAAGAATCGCATTCCAGAACTCTACTCAATGCTCATGTCAGGACTTGAGTGTGATTTCGACCACTAGAAATCATACTCAAGTCCTTGCCATTAGGGTCGTATTTCCAGTGCTTGAAATCATACTCAAGACCTGACTTGAGCATTGAGTGAGTTCTGGAATACGACTCATAGCTAGCTATATTCTGCTACTTCTTAAATATTCAACATAGACTTCAATATACAACAGGCGTTTACGCTGGTCGCCTTTTCTCTCAAAAGCCTTTATTTTTTTCCATATTATAAGCTCAAAACACAAGGAAAGATACTAACATATGAAGAGGCTGTATGGTGGAACCTTTGCCTACCAAATTATATGGATGAGTGAACATTTTGTTTTGTTTCTGGCACTTCGCGGTTTGCGTTTGTGCCACTGCAAAACGGGGAAACTTATTCACGGAAAACAATGGAAAGGAAAAATAATTTGTAAGAAAGGATCAGGAAAGTGCAATTAAGGTTAAATAGGAATACATAAATATAAAAATTGTGACAAACGTAATATATAGCTATATTTGTCAACATGTTTAAAAACACACCATTGGTTTCAGCCAACATATTTCTGGCTTCAGTTCTATAACCTCATAACAAAATAATATTTATTAGTATTTTTCCTTGTGGTGAAAAGGTGTCAAGAGCATGTTCCGACAATATGATCATAGGCCTATTCTTATATAATTAATTATTTTATTAAACGATTCATAATTTTTAACATTATTATAATTTTTTTTATCGCGTTGCGTTTGCACTTACGCTGTAAACGGGAAAAATTATACACGAAAAATAATAGAAAGGAAAAAAATAATAGTAAAGGAACAAGGTCGTGGGACTAAGGTAAAGTAGAAACTAATTACAAATATATTATCTATTTATACTTATATTTGTCATCATTATTTATGTATTTTTATTATATTGGTTATAAATATGATATTGGGTTTTTATGCTTTACTAAATATATGGCATCACGGTTCATTCGACTATAAGCCTCTTCGATATGCAGGGTGTAATTGTTAAGTGTGCCCTTCTGAGTACAAGGACTAACTAGACGAGAAATAAACTGAGTAAAAGGACATCAATAATTAAAAACAAATAAGACTCGAAATATCAAAAAATTTAACGTTAAACTCCCCCATACGATTAATATGACAATCGTACACTCATTCATATCTCGTTCTCATACAGTTATATACAAGAAGAGCAGAAGAAGAAATAAGAAGGATATTTATGAAAATCCCTGGAGGATTATGTTATAAGATAGTCTAAATAAAGTATGCAAAATCTATTAAAAATTATTATTAAGGCAATTAACATTGTTCTTTGTCTACAAAGTTTTACTATACGACCTATATTTTCTTCCAACTCTGTTAAGCCTCTTCGGAATGATTATAACAAACTAACTTTTGCTTTTAAGATAGTAGGATTAAAAGGTAATTTTTGATTTAATAAAATCAGCCGCTCTACGTAATATTTTTTTATTTTATACACAACATTTTTTGGATTGAACATTTTAACATAGGTTCAATAACAAACAGATTTGAGTCCCTATCATTTAGGTCACCGCTTTCCGTGCCTTTTCAAACATATAAATATAACACAGATATTGTAGATATTATTTTGATGAAATACCTACTCATTCGGTGACCGCAGCGATTAGCGATGGACAATTTAAACAGGAATTAAAAATTGCAATGTACAGGTATTTAAAAATTTAAACCTCTTTCCCTTTTTTGATAATAAAAGTCCATGGCGAATGCAATAATTAGGTCGATGTAGAATAATCCATATATGGCTCCGACAGTGTACGAACTTTGGAAGAACAAACTCATCATAGCTACGCATGTTAAGGCTAGTTCAATGACCACGTAGTACAGCTCGGCTTCCGCTTGTACCTGATCCACCACGTACAACAGCATAGTGTATAGTGACAGCATGAGTGTCGGCCCCGCGACAAAGCAATGGAAAATGTCCGGTGGCGTCACCACGTGCGGTATTATATTGAGGAGTAGTGCCACCGCCTAAAAGTAATAATCTACCTGTACTTTCTATCCACAATATTCTTTTTCGACTATGATATACAAAACATAAAGGTCAAGTCTCTAAAACAATAACAAGAGCATTATTTCTAATTTTAATTTTTATTACCTAATCATTTCTTAATAATGCATATGAGCGTTCTTTTATAACGTAATACAAATCTACGCCAAGAGCGATAATTAAATGAATGTAAAAAAGGCCATAGACTGCACTCGTGGTGGTGTGAAGCATGAATGCGGTGAGGAATGCGAGAGCGTTAGCCACAAGTTGCGTGGTTAGGTACAACTGTTCGGCTAGATCGTGTACTTGGTCCACAAGGTAGAGCACCACGAACATAGTGGATAGGATGAGCGTGGGTGCGACCGCCACGCAGTGGAACACTGATATGTTGCGCACTATGAACGGCAATATCATGAGAAGCAGTGCCACCGCCTAAAAGTAACAATACTTATGTAGCGTGCTATCTACTCCATCATTACCTATTTTTCCTACGTTTGCATAAGTTTTGCATCACTTGATAGAATGATTTCGTGGCTAATGTAATGCTATTTTTTCATAGCGAACATACACATAACTTTGCTTTAGTCTCAGGCTTTAGCTTATAACGAAATATTTAGAATAGTAAGTTTCCACCTATAATAAATAATGTAATTCAAATTTTGTTTCAGGATGTGGTTGTTAATGGTTGTGTGAACTTAATACTATGAATAAGAATAGCTTTATGCAGTTCTTTTATGGCTCCATTTCAAGGATCAGTGTTGGGTTTTGAGGTCGCTTTTCGCTCATTCTTTAAATGACAATTTTACCCGGCCTTCAACGTGATGTCAAATTTATATTAACGTAAACAAAATGAGAATGTACATATATTATACAATTATGTTAATTAGATAATGCCACTTTTATGTCGTACTTAATGTTACAATGGAAAGCTGCGATTTTATAGAAGTAAAAGGGAGAAGTAAATATTTGAAAAGGATATTCATGTAATAACTAATTAATAAACAATATTATTAATACAGTTAACAAATTGCTACCCGTTTAACAGGATATTTCTAAAATGTTTCTCTATACATCATCATTTTAAACGGTTCGTATATTATAATCCTCAGTCGATTTCCCTATAAATTTTAAAATTCTTTCTAGACGTAAGTACGTAATATAGGACACAAAAACCCAATTTACATTATCGCGAAATGGAAGGGAAGCTATTTTGTGTCTAGTTTGTACGTTACATAATTTTTTATTCCGTCTTAATACAAATTAAAAAACTGGGATTTGCAAGAGATTTTAATTTAAAAAACTATTCTAAAAAAATGCCGCCCCGTGTCGTGTCCGGGTGTACTACGAGAGTGCGAATGCCGGTTGCGCGATAATTTATTTGCGCGAATGGCCAGTTGCGCGAAAGCTTAAATGCGCGATAGTTCATTTGCGCGAATGGTCAGTTGCGTGAAAGTTCGAATGCGCGATAGTTCATTTGCAGGAATGACAATAGCACCAAGACAGATTTGACTCCCATGGCTGTAGGTTGTTGCAATTCTTTGCAATGCAAAGCTTTCATAATAAACTATATGTTTATTTTTGTAAAAGTTTGTTAGGGTGTATTTGCAACTATTAATGCCTTCCAGCTTTCGCAAATCTGTCTTCGTGCTATCGTCATTCGCGCAAATGAACTATCGCGTGTTCAAGCTTTCGCGCAACTGACCCTTCGCACAAATCAACTATCACGCATTTACGCTTTCGCGCAACTGACCATTCGCGCAAATGAACTATCGAGCATTTAAGCTTTCACGCAACCATCTTCGCACTATCGACATTCGCACTCACGTAGTACACCCATCGTGTCCGGCTCAAAAGTTCCCATTATACTGGCAGCATTGCCCCGCTAAACGGCAATGGACACTTGCCGAACCAACCACGATCCAGAGCGATGATCGCAGCCCCTGTTTCCGAGTCGGCGACCCAACTTTTTAAACAAGTCCCGAGCTTCCGAACCCCAGGGCCCCACCATCTCGACCGCGACCGGTACGAAGTCGTACATCGGCTCCAAGACAGAATATTTAGCATGTTGCGTCCCACAGAAGACAACGACATTTTCGCCAAGGAACCAACGTCAAACCGTCCGGCCTTTTACCGTCAATTCGACTCAGACCCGGGGGCTTGAGCACGCAATGGACATTAGCTGACACAATCGCCCGTCACTCAACATCATTTATGGCATGGTTGTGTGGTGTGGTGGCTGGGAAAACGACCCGCATATCTTTGGCAACTTAAGCCATGGTGTCCGTCCTCCATCACCATTGTGCCACATACACAGCGGTGCGGCTCACACATCTTGCTTCCAAACGCAATGCTACCGCTATCCTCAAAGAATTATCATCGAGCAGAGTATCCAACTGTGGAGATGGCAAAGCATGTAACCACGCTCCCGGCTGCGATCTAGCGACGGCTTTGAGACGAGCCATATTACCCGAACCGTATATCCGTATATCCAACAAAGAACGGTATATTTGTTTGCAAAGAATATTATAGAGATTGGAATGGCATGCGAATTCCGCTGCCATCAAGAGCTAAAATGCGACCAATGACATCCGCAGAGATAGAGATTG